TGCAGTCGGAGTTCCACGAGCGAACGGATGATATCCCGGAATATAGTGTCATCATATATATATATATATATATATATATATATATATATATATATATATATATATATATATATATATATATATATATATATATATATTCTCACGTATTGATTCACGGATGGAAAAATGTGATGACACTATATTCCGGGATATCATCCGTTCGCTCGTTGAACTCCGACTGGAATCCTGCAAATCTTGCATCCGACTGGAATCCTGCAGACGTTTCGCCAAAATCTCACTTGGCATCTTCAATGCTCGCGCTCCGAGTGAGTGTTGGAAGTGTTTTCGGAGCGCGAGCATTGAAGATGCCAAGTGAGATTTTGGCGAAACGTCTGCAGGATTCCAGTCGGATGCAAGATTTGCAGGATTCCAGTCGGAGTTCAACGAGCGAACGGATGATATCCCGGAATATAGTGTCATCATATATATATATATATATATATATATATATATATATATATATATATATATATATATATATATATATATATATATATATATATATATGCATTGTTTGAAGAATGTTTGAATAGCGAATATTTCCAGATCTTATCTTCGTCTTCTGATAGCAGTAGTTGAACGTCAGTAATTGACTGACGTTGTTACAATCTGTAGCCAGTGGCTAAAGTGCCACGACAGTTTCCTTACTTTACGGGACGAAAACACAAAAAAAACCCTCTACGTCAGCTTATCAAAACGTAGCCCCAGGTCAAAATGAATATTGATAAACCATTATGTAAAACCAGAAGCCAATAACTAGAATTTTTTGACATGCTCTGTTTCTCAAGGCACCTAAATTAATTTAAAATTATATTATACACGGGGTTGTCTTAGTTTTATTGCTTTATATTAATATATCGGCAGACCTAATAAACGTGGCAACTAAGTAAGTTGCCTTGTTTATGTGCTATGCACGGCGCGTTTTATTGGCTAGAGAAGTTGTCTTAAAACACTTTAAAAAAATGAAATTTGGACTACTTCAGATAGGTACGAATCCGCATTCACTGCCCCCAAATCGTAAGTCCAGAAAGCTGAGCTCTTCGTGGAACTAGAGAAACCATGGTTAAATAAACTCATTAAAAACAAAATGAACGACTATTATTATTATTATTGTAAGAAACTTTGCATAATTATTTGAAAATTAACTTCATTTTATTTTAAGCCGATAAATAAGGATTTAAAATGCGTTGTCTTAGTTAGATGTGTTAATTTAAATAAATTATAAAGTCTATCATATTATACAAATTGGAGTTAAGTTGCTTTGTTCCGCGGCGTACAAAAATATAATAAAAAGTTGTTGGCAACTGTTGACGAAATGAGCAATACCTCCATTCTCGTCTTCATTGTCATCTATAACTTATTTTTTACCATCATGCTTGCTGCTTTGCTCAGCCCTCAATTCACGATCAGTTATACGATTCAGGTGGTGTGACGAATTCAATAATATAAATATATAGGGTGTTCAATTTAAATCTCATCAGTAATTTTAAAAAACTCGATAACATATTTTGTCAAGATTGTAATTTGCATCCCTATTTTTTGGCACCCTACAACTCAATGCAAAAAGTTTGCTAATAATATTAAGTCTTGTCTTTGTCGTGCTCATATGGGAGAATGGGATATTTCTGACGTTTGATTGGTGATCACATAATATTTTATTTCGTTATTTGCAAAAAAATAGAATTTATATCTATGGAAACGTTTCCGAAAAACCTCCGAAACCTCTGAAAAAATCCGTTACGAATGGATCGATTTAGAAATTCAAAATAATAACTTATTGAGTAAAAATAATTAAAGTACAAGCATATTTATCTAAATATGTTCACATAAAAACCTCTGAATTGATCTAGTTAGAAATTCAAAATATTTAAGAATCAGGTAAAAATCCTTTAAATACCAAAATACTAATATATTTATATAATAATATTAATATCCATATAATAAACCACAACTATGTGTAAGATATGTATGGTTTAGAGAAAGATAAATTATTGAAGTGGTACTTTGTAGCAAACACCTTACCACGAAAAACCTAAAACTATTAGAAAAATTGAGAAACAATAGAAAACAATTTTTGATTTCACTTATCTTAGTATTAAAGAGCATGACAAAGATGGAAATATCCATTACTACCCGTCTTCTTCTAAATAAAACTTTCGTCGCAAAATCGCTGCCCATTCTCGTTTCTCGTATAGATCTACTCCACCGCTACAGAATCGGTGACGTTAATTAAAGAATATAAATACGAAAGGGGTATATCTGTTTCCGCTTGTAGTTAAATACATAAATCGTTTGTAAGGCCTTGTTAAATTTTAAAATTAGTTAGTTCAAAATACATTTATTTGTCAGAAAGTCAGAAATATTATATGAGACGTCTGCCAAAACTCGATACTGATCGAAAATTCCGAAGACGCTATACGCACGACGTAAGCCTCTGTCCGGGAATACCGTTTATGGCGCTACCGTATCTCGTACGGATACCGATGAGTCAAGAAACCGCGTTTATACCGACGTACACAATACCGCACATAATTTATTGTCATTGGTTTTATTGTCATCCGTGCTTTTGTTACATATCAGTATAATTTCTTACCGCAAAACGCGTATCAGTCCGATGAGTGTGGAGGGCGGAACTCCTTAATTACTCACAAAATATTCGGGAAAAGGATGCGCCAGTTAAATATAGAGATTATTATTTCTTTCAAATAAAATAATTTAAGAACTCCATTTATTATATACCTTTCTTTTATCTCTCTCTTTCTCAAAATTGATGATAACGTTGGAGTTTGTTCGATGTTATACTGCGGATAAATAAAATGTAACATTAGAAGACACCTCAATGTGAATACACCTTCAACTTTTTCTTTAACTAACTAATCAAGATGATTTTCTTTAATTACATCCAAAACGGGAAGCATATATTTCGTCAGTAATATAATTTAGGGCAGAAGCTTAGAAGCTAGAAGTACGAAAATATTTGAAAAAACTATGACCAAAAATGTAAAGTCAGGATTTAGAGCCCATTCGAAAAATTTTAATAATTTTAAGTACAATATTAACTATTTTTATCTCATGTAATAATCACTTATCTTTTTACCTAATAAGTTGCTTCACACACTTTACTCACTGTAAATGCGCAAGTTGCAACTGTAAGGTTATGAATTAATTTCACTGTCGCAAATTATGTAAGCGAAAAGTGCTTTAGCCTTAATTTTAAATTAATTTTTAAAAAGTTTTGTTTTTTAGTGACAATATTAATTTAATAACAATTGTTTCAACTCTATATTAGTATATATGGACGTTTAAATTAAATTCGAATAGAAATATCTCCGTCCGCTAGGAATCGAGTTCGCAAACACGTCAGATGTTCCATCATCCGCAACACGGCTTGGAAATGTCTTCCCGCCCCGTGGAGGCGGCTTCGACAACCGCCCCTGTCACCGCCACTTGCCACAGCCGCATGTAACATTTGAGATATGTTGCCGAACGGCCCGAACAGATTTATTAAGTAAATATGTGTATTTGTTTCAGAAATTTACGACGCAGCATTAGACTGTAATGTTCCCCCCTCATTAAGGGTCGAATACATAGATATTCCTTGAAATATCTTTCAAGAACTCTTTAATGCTTAATAATTTTGTTTGGCTAAATGATTTTTCAATAAGGAATTCTTTTGAGACTGCTTATAAAGCAGCAAAAGTAGTTGACAACGAGATGCAGATTCAAATATCTGTTTCTTGCAACATTATGAAAATGTTGAGTTTTGAATGTTGAAAATGAGTGTTTTCAAGGTTACACGAGGTGTTGCGACTAGAGTTACTTCTGGAACACTTTGGTGACTAACCAAAACTATGTTGTTGTCCCTAGTACTTTGACGTTTGCGTGTTTTGATGGTCACCTAATACTTCGGCATTCGTGCCGTTTTTTCCAATTTTGGTTTAGTTACATTTCAGCATATTGTACCTAATAGCGAATACTTATGGATTTTTGTTTTTTTTTTATTGCACAAGGGCTACATTTGACATTGTATCGACATTACTATCGAAAATAAAGTGCAGCCGAATATGCCACAAAGCAAGCTCGTTGTGAAAAAGTTTAAACGTTATGATCAACAATTATGATGTGGGATGTCGGCAGAAAAATGATGAAGTAATGTGAATTTTCCAGGCGTCGCTGAAGCTTGCTCGGACATTTCTTCTTTTGGTACGAAAATATATTATTTTATCGGAAGAAATGAAAAACTGGAAAAGTAATTCATACTAGTTTGTTTAGTTGAAGTTAATAAAAGCGAATTTGATTAAAAAAGAAATAACGTCTTCACACCGATTGCTATAGAAATTAAAAAGAAAATGTGGAGAAACAGTACTACACCAGATTATACTAGGTATGCAATAGACATGACGAAAAATATTACCAGCTTATTTTGTCAAAAGTGGGTTTTCTTTGTATTTAAAATATAACTTAAGAAGTGCTCAAGGTGTCACATCACATAAAAAAAAATCACATAAAGTATGTTTAAGGAACAAACAGGATTGTCCGATGGAGACGATAATTTCTTGACAACATGTATTATATGGTGGATGCGATCAAGATCGAGAACCTTGCATTAAAAAAATTATAAAATTAGTGTCGATTATATAATTATTAAGTTTGAGTAGATTGGTTTCAAACATCAACTTCAATTTGATTGGACTTTTGTGCTAGTTAGTCATTAATGGATTAGTCTATACGCAAACAATTGAATACAGCGATAATATGGGCATACTATGACAGGACAATAGAAAAGATGGCGACGCTATTAAAACAGATTACGCGAGCTTATGCAAATTACCAATTTGTCAATGCGTAAGTATGTGCAAATGGAAATGAAATTTGTTTCTATCAATAATACTTTCGAATAGACGTTTGCTTTGCAAATATAACGTTGTTAGAAGCAGTTAGGAAAATGGCAACTTTGAACAAACCATTAGAGTAAAAAAGTCACATTAGTATGTTTATTATATTTAGAGAATGACTATAGCATAATGCTATCATTCCATTTTCACACTACCTGATTTACCATTATAGGTTCATACAAAGTCCTCGTCGGTTTCAAAAATTCAAGATTTTCTTCAAGTTCCTTCTTTTTTTCTCCAGATTTGTTCTTTTTCTCTTCACTGGCCGAAGATTTTTTGTGTTTCTTTTCTTCACTAGAAGATTTCTTGTGTTTTTTTTCACTTGACTTGCTATTGTTCTTTGAACAATTTTTGTTCTTCTTTTCGTCACTTTTCTTCTTATCTTCCTCGCTGGATGAAGATGAGTCGCTAGAAGAAGATGAATCGCTCGAAGAAGATGAGTCGCTCGAAGAAGATGAGTCGCTCGAAGACGATGAGCTGCTCGAAGAAGATGAATCGCTCGAAGAAGATGAATCGCTTGAAGAAGATGAGCTGCTTGAAGAGGACGAGTCGCTCGAAGAGGATGAGTCGCTAGATGAATCACTTGAATCAGAACAACTTTCTTCCGAATTGCTAGGTTCTGGAAAGGAAAGCGTGTCATAAATCCAATTCAAACTATGCCTTTACTATGCTTACCCTCTTCCGGAGTGGTTGTTGTTATAATTGTTGTGGATTGCGTAGTTGTTGTTGGTTTTGTGGTCGTCGAAGTACCTAAAAGTAATTATTTTCGGTTTAGTTACGTGAAATACTTTATAGGATTGCAGACAATATGACGACTTATCTATTAACAATGGCCGATACATTTGATTGAATTAAATATTCATCCTCAGGATTGTCGATAAGCTGTCGTACGTTTTACCACATCATAACGCACGAAAATGAGCTTTATTATCATATTGCGTCAAACTTTGTACCATTCTGTGTGGCATATCTTAACATCGGCCTGTTTACAAATACTTAATGCAAATATAATTTTAATCTAATATATTTAATTGATTCTGATCTACTTGGTAATAATGACGTTAATCGGCGACAGTATTTTGTTGCTGTTCTTTATAAATAATACGCTTGCAAAAATTGATTAGATAATACTATCTGGCGATCTATTGTCTGAACATTTCAAATTTTCCTTCAAATTGTTACTAAATTCCATTAAACTTTCCCTTACTGGTTGTCTTCGTTGTGGTCGGCGAGGTCGTGGTAGACGTGGTAGTAGTCGTAGTGGTCGATCTGGTTGTCCTCGTTGGAACAGAAGGTCTTCTTGTTGTAGTTGACCTAGCTGTTGTACGACTGGTCTGCGCTGTTGTTCTCGTTGTGCTACTAGCTACCCTAGCTGTAGTCGGAGCTTTTGTGGTAGTCGTTGATGTAGTCGAGGAAGCTGTTGAAGCACTTGTACTAGATTGCGAAGTTTGTGGGCTGGCCGTTGTAGGTTCTGATTTGGTAGATGCTGAGGTTGATTGCGCACTTGTTGAGGGACTGGCTGTACTCGACTGTGGAGTTTGTGGGCTAGCGGTTGTAGGTGCCGAGCTTGCCGAAGAAGCAGTTGTTGGTGCACTTGTTGAAGGACTGGCGGTACTCGACTGTGAAGTTTGTGGACTAGCGGTTGTAGGTGCCGAGCTTGCTGGAGAGGCAGTTGTTGGTGCACTTGTTGAGGAACTAGCGGTACTCGCGGTAGATGGGGAGGGGTTTGGTTCCGCTGTGACAATTTTGCAATCAGAGTCTTCGGGCCATACGCAAACGTTTAATATAGAGCTGAAGTATCGTCCCGTGGAGCAATTAAACAAACTTAACACGCCATTGGAACACTCGTAAAATCTACTACAATTAGTGGGATCCGGATAGTATTGTTGAGTACAACCATCTGGAAACATAAGATAAAATTACATTACATTCAAACTGCTTTGAAAAAATATTGTTTAAATAGTAATATCAAAACCTATTAACTATTAACAAAAACAAACCTTCAAATTTGCAAATAACTAATTTGTTTTATTTACAAGAAGCAGCTGTTTAGGCGAAGTCTAACCAATATCTCTATTGTGTAACATATTAGTGAGTGTATTATTGCAATATTCGAAAAAAAATGAATACCAAACTGCTTTTTATTCTGATACAAAGACTGATGACTATGTTGAATCGATTAATAAATATTTTTCTGTACCTTCTGAACGCAAGACGAAACAAGAACCAAAGGCCAGAGCCGCCACAAGAATCAGTAGGAATTTCATATTGCCGTGTGAGGAATAGACTTCCAACTGATAGAATAAAAGCCATTAATAACTTGCTCTAATATATTATTTCCAAATCAGTAAATCTAATTTGCCACTCGAGGACAGATATTTTATCTTACAGCAATTCGTACATGTTTACCGCTTTGCTATGGAATTATTGTTACATACAAAAATTATATTAAGATAATTGTCTTGCTTTCTACAATTTTTTTCCATCAACTGGTACTCGATAATTTAGCAACCTCAAAAAAAAGTTATCGAACGGAGAAATCCTGGAATTGTATAATTCTTTTTCTCCAAATGTTGGAAAATTGATTAATATTCGACCCCCAAAATTGATGAAAGTGGCCCTCTGATAAAACAAATTTACTATATTATTTTTACATACTGTATAATAATTGTTTATATAATAAGAAATAATTTGCAGAGTATGCTTAAAGTATACTTAAGGCAATACAATAGAAAGCAATAATGCACTACAAATGAAAATGAAATGAGCAAAATGTATACATGCTATTCTTTAGGTCAATTCATTAATAATGTAAAGTATATAACAAAGAAGAAAATAATATGATATACACGCATTCAGGTGCACATTCAAATTAGTTTAGCCATTTATGACCAACCCTTTTAAGCTATTAAGCTAAGAGGAATACTGTCACAATTTAAATAGACCTCGTAAAAAAGGATCTTACAAACAGTGATGCTTTATGAGGGGGAGGCGCTATAACGTATTTATGTCTTAAATCTATTACTGATTACTTTACTATTTTCTCCATGCTGAAGCATCCAATTTCCCTCATCTTGTTTCCTGGTCAAATCAGCTGATAATATATTGAGAAAAACTAGGATTACAAGATATTTTTGGCTGAAAATTCCCAAAGGCTTTTCTCACGCAGTAGCTGACAAGATCCGAGAACCTCATATGAACATCAAGCAACAGTCTCGAGTTGAAGAACTCCGTGATTAAGTTTGACATGAAAAAGGTTGTGGCATTTGGGTTTATTTTGGATTAATGACCAATCAAAAAATGTTGCGCTGTCTCGGAAGTGAATTTAGTTCTTGCTGACATAAGGGAGTATCCGTCTTAAGTCGGGAAGAACTCATAGCCTGTTAATATTCTACGATTGTAACCAAACTTCCAAAAAAACTTAATAAACTACACCACTGCCCTTTAACCGTTTCTTCGTTCGCCTCTTTAACTAAAACCGAAGTCGACAAAGTTGCAAAAACAATGGGAGCCGTAAAGATCCATGTCCGTCGTCCGTAAACAGGCAATTCGAATTTCAAATCGGGGCGAATTCAACCCGACTACGGGGGGAATGTGTGTCCCGAGTCGATATTACCATTTCATCGCACGTACGTTTCGATCGGTTGCAAAAAAACCGCAACCGCTGTCCCATTGGCCCGTTCGGGTTTCGATTAACTGGCCCATTCACATACTTAGACGCCGCTTTTTGTGCGCTTTGCATTTTTATCGACGCGAACTGGCAATTTTCTGTGGGAAAACGCCGGCTCCCGCTTTTACTATTACCAGTTAAGTCCGAAAATAAACACGCGTCTTCAAATTCTCCTAACAAGCCTAATTCTTTAATGATCGGTATAGCTTGACCGGTTCCATATCGAAAACCTATTCACCGTTGCATAGTTCCTAATATTGTAGGTACTCCAAAGAGAGATTAATACGATACTTATGTGTGTTCATGAGAATCTCAACCGAATGCAATCGGACAAGCACATCTATATTTGGAGTGACAGTTGAGAGGCTATTTCCTCCATGAATATGAGCTTGGGACTTGACTCCCGCTACTACTCATGCCGGTAGTAAACCTGACTGACACTAGCCTCCCTACATAGGGAGCAAACGTTGACAGTGTTTAGAAGGAGAGAAAACTCTAATTCATTTTCTAACCAGCAGAGCACTAGAAGTTCAACTTGTTGAACAGAAGGCGCTATCTAAACTCCTCATGAAAGAACTACTGTACCTCCTCAAGAGTACAGGGCTCTTCTAGGGAACGAAGATGTGTGGACAAATCAGTCGTTAGGTTTGGATGATCACCAAATACAAGAACGCAACACAGATAGAAATAGAAATAGAATAGTGTTAGCAATGAAGCTGACCATAAACATCAAACAACAACTGCGGAGTCAAGATCAAACCTGAAAGCAAAATGTCGGGTGGTTTCTCCGACAAAAAAAGGTCGCTTAACACCTCTCATCAACAACTAAATTTATACCGAGAAAGTTCTATTCATTGAGGAAGGAGGTTATTTACTACTTAACTAAATTATGTATGTAAAGCTTCGCTTACCGTCGGATTTTTTTGTATAACCCGATGACGCAATTCAATATACGAAAAGAACAAATATTGGAGAATTAAAAAAAAGAGCTACAAGTAATTAATTAAACTGATAAAACGAATGCTGATGGAACACTCGGGGATTAATCAAAAACTCTTGGCCGCTTGGGCAAACACTAATGGATTGACTGACTGATGAAACTTTTTTTTTTTTTCAATTTTCAAGAAAACTGACAAAGGACTGTCTTAGCGATTGCCAGTAATATTGCTCATATAAGGGCCGCTTGGGCAAAAGCTGATTTACTGTTTGCACTAATTTTGCGGAGCTTAAATATTTAGGACTGATAAAAGACTGTCTCTTCAATCATACTGAGAGCTGCTTTACTTGGTATTCAAATTTCTTGTAGTATTTCTACGAAGAAGTACTTTGTGCCTATTCATTTTTAGATAAATGTTGTTTAAAACACATTTCAAAAAGTAAAGCGAATTTTAACAATTTTAATTTAATACTGGGTTGGAACAAACTTATTTGCTTTCCATTTTCATTTTCCACTCTCAAACACAAGTTTTTGAAATTGGTTTTCTATACTCTTACGACGCCCTAGGCAAAAAGAGCTTTTTGCTAAATACTTAAATACTTCCTAGTCGCGCATCCTTCCGCCTTATGAATAAATATCTCGAGCCGATTGGTAGATATAATTGAGCCGTTAAATTGAATTTACCTCGACAGATGGATCGGCAGGGGGCGCGAGACCTAATCAATTTATATTTCATCAGCTGATTGATTAAACCGATAGAAAAACGCTGATTCATTTAATTGTTTGCTTTATTTGCTGCTATGATATGCCGCGTTTGTAAAAGCGGCTACTTAAGCTGAGTCGGTATACATTTTAGTGCATTTAACTTATTCAGGTTTATTGAGAATTGAGAATTCATGAAGAACATTAATGTTTTTGGGCGAACTAGTCAACTCTCTGATTACCAAGGTGTTATTTCTTCTCAATCATGTTAAGATGTGAAAATAAATAATGTATTTATTCTCTAGAATGTCAGTAGTTCAAAAAATCTTACAAATTTTAGAACTAAAATCCATCCTAAAACCGGGAATGCACCTGTTCATATCAAACCACATGACACATTAGAATGTCCTGGTTTTGGCTAGAGAAAAAAAAAGAAACAAAAATATCTCAATTGAGATTTAAAAATTGTTACTTAGATAACGCCATGAAAAGAGTGGGTGCTGTTGAGGATGAATACAATACATAAGCTAGCATTTCATTCTTGAACAATATTTATTGTAATGGGTACTACTACTAACAGTCGCACTTGAAACGTACCTTAAACAACACCGTAAAATTCTGCCGCAACTAGCGGCGTGCTTCTCACGCAACATATTAATTAAGAGTTGTGTTAAACGCCCAGTCATGCCAAGATAATTTACTTACCCTTCCGCAGTTGCATTTGGCGAGTAGGTAGGACTGAAATGGATACTGTGGTCAATTTTTAACTTTTTATACCAACCCTACTTAAATTCTAATCGAATTTAAAATGATCAGCAGTGAAGATCGTATGCCATATTCTTCACCTAATAAAGCACATGGTTTTTAATTTCTCCATAAAGGAAATTCAATTACAAGAAATGCTCACGTTGATAAGCAAAAATAGCTAAAGCAAGCTAAAAATAGACCTGTAAATAATAATAATAAACAAACAAAATCATTGAAGCCAAGAAAGTTTATGTTAATGTTAATCACAATCTACAAAAAAATTTATGAAGGAAAACCGTTGATACAAGCCATGTAAAATCAATAATAACTACTAATAACTAAAGGAAACAATGACATTCAAAGAAGATCACAATTGATTCATTGTCATAAAATCCTACAGCCAAGATAGGCAAATATTTTAATGGTTAATTAATGTGTTGCCTCTCTTTGGGTGATGACATGATGCATTTTACATAAGTGATGGAGGATAAAGCTATTCTGATAGCTTTATAAAGGGTGTTTTTTTTTTCGATACATTTTAAATATGATTTCTGGCATGACCGCCATGGCTGGCGCGGATGTAGTCCAATCTGGATTGTTGTCTTCCGAATGGTCAAGCGTTTGTGGCTTATCCGCATAGACCAATGACTTTACATAGCCCCACAAAAAGTAGTCTAGCGGTGTTAAATCACAAGATCTTGGAGGCCAATTCACAGGTCCAAAACGTAAAATTAGGCGGTCACCAAACGTGTCTTTCAATAAATCGATTGTGGCACGAGCTGTGTGACATGTTGCGCCGTTTTGTTGAAACCACATCTCCTGGACATCATGGTTATTCAATTCAGGGATGAAATAGTCAGTAATCATAACTCAATACCGGTCACCATTGACTGTAACGTTCTGGCCATCATTGTTTTCGAAGAAGTACGGACCGATGATTCCACCAGCCCATAAAGCGCACCAAACAGTCAGTTTTTCTGGATGTAACGGTGTTTCGACATACACTTGAAGATTAGCTTCGCTCTAAATGCGGCAGTTTTGTTTGTTGACGTAGCCATTCAACCAGAAGTGCGCTTCATCGCTAAACAAAATTCGCTTATGAAAATCGGGAACAACGGCAATCTCGTTTTGGACCCATTCGACGAATCTACGCCATACTTGATGAATTCATGATGAATTGCCAAACCAAACTGAGAATAAATCACTTGACAGCTGTTAAATCGGTCGCCATCTTGAATAGTA